AATCATAAGCTATCATCCAGCCAATAATTATGGACCATATGTTAAACTGACATGGTGTCAGAGGATGAAGACACAAAGATGGAAAAGGCAGTGGTCCCCAGGAGTTCATAGAGGAAACAGCTACAGATCAGTTTTGTAAGAATGGGGCAAGCGAATGATCAGGGCACAGGCATGGCTCAGAGTGGCCTGGTCAACTTCGCTTGGAGATGGAGTGAGGTGGGGGAGTTAGGAAGGTCTATGTAAAGAGAGGTCTTTTGAACTAGGTCTCAAAAACTAGGTAGAAAAGCCAGTTGGGTGTGATGAAGCAGTTTGGGAGCTGGGGCAGGAGAATTACAAGTTTGGGCCTGGCCTAGGAAAATAAGCAACTTAGGTAGACCCTGTTTCAAAATAAAGAAGGTCTGGGAAATATAGATCAATGGGAAGGCCCTGGGTTTAATCCTCAGTACCAAAAAAAAGGAAAAAGAAAAAAGAATAAAGTGGAAAAGCCAAAGAGAGTCAACCCTTATCTATGATTCCAGGGCTCAAACCAGTGGTCCTGTCTGTTTGTGGGTGGGGATTGCTGGAAGGGGTATGAAGGAAATTTCTGGAGTGGTAAAATTATTCTGCAGCTTGAATGGGTGTGGAACACATGGGTGCACACATTTTGTCAAAACTCATCGAACTCTACACTAAAGATCTGTGCATTTTATTATGTGACTGACATCTCTATTTATAAACAAAATAAGTTTATTGAAAACGATTTTTCCAATACGGGGGTGGGGCCTGGAGGAAGGGGCATGTACGCAGGGACTTTCATGCCAGGTGACCTGGTGTTCAGCAATTTGAGCATATGGTGCTCCTGTTTGGCTGGATTTCAGCTTATGAAGCAAAGGACATGAGACCAGGAGTCAGAGCCTTAAATGCCACACAGAGGTGTCTAGACATCACCCTCTTAGCCTGAGGGTGAGGGAGGAAAGAGGAGAACAAACCAGAAGGACCAATACAGCAGCAAAGTGAACTGTGCCTTTTGCTCTACTGGGCAGTTGGGGAAAACAGTCATTTCCTACACCCAGGCTGCACTCAGGCAGGAGTGGAGGGGGCCCAAAGTTTTTGTCATAACCTGACAGGGAAATCCCCAGGGACTATTTTACATCTGCTAGAGGTAATTTTTTCTTCATTTTCATTTGCTTCAGGATACATGTTGTCCTTGCTGGTTTGATCCTCCTAAACATAAAAGTGATATCCCATTATGCCCCACATATCAGGGTCTAAGGAACTTCTAAGTCCTTCTGCATCTTCACTCTACCCCCAAACTACAACAGACTTTTCTTAGCTGCTTCTTAAGTTGGAGAAGTCTCCCTTCCACCTGTCCCATGCTGAAACTGTACCACCTGTCATGGCTGCCCAACCCCCATCCTCTCACTTTTTAATACTGCTGATCCTCAGAACAGGCTTCTCCCTCCATGTCTGTTTCAAACAACAGGCAATAGTTCCTTTCGCTTTCCCCCTCCCCACTATGGAGATGTGTTTCGTAGGCTAGATTATAAGGTTCTTAAGTCAGGGCCTTACAAGCAATTTCCCCACCAATTTTGGACTATGGTAATTTCTTAATGAATACTTATTGGTACATTGATGATTAAATTTGGAGGTTCCAAACCTCCTGTGTGAAATGAGAAATTCAGTGTTTTCATTTCCTCTACCCGCTCTCAGTAGACAAAATTCCTGTCTAGACTTCTGCTACCTTAGAAAGGATGTTTGCGGGGGCAGGCTGACAGACATAAAGGGCAGAGTGGCTGAGACACTGTGGGATGTTTAATCCAGCTTTGCCCAGATTGTCGATCCCAGATGACCCAGGCTGTAGAGCTCTGCCCCCACACCCTCCATGAAAGAGATCATAGCTGGACAAAATGAGGACAGGTTTTGTCAACACCAATGCAGTTCACAAGTGAGTTCAAATGGCTGGATTTACAGCAACTGTCGAGTCATCCATGTTACTGAAATTGCAGATACAAGCCGACCTGCTGGGAAAAGAATTTGGGATAAACTGTGAACTTCAAAAAGTTTCTGCCTGGAAACTGAAGAGGTAACCATGGCAACTGGGAGCCAGGTTGAACTCAGAGAAGGCTCTTCATCTTCAGCAGGGAGCTTTGTGCTCTCAGATTTACCCATCTGTGCACTGTGCATGAATCCCTTTGTCTCTTCATTTTCTTTGTTGGACAGGAGAAAGTACTAGCTCAGGAATCTGGAGATGGGGTCCTGGTTTCAGCTGTTTCCGGTTCCAGGGTGCTTACTGAAGGGCTCCTCAGGCACTGCTGTTTTGTTGTCTAGAAAATGGAAATTTAAAACCTCCTCTAGCCTATTCACAGGGGCACAGAAAGGACATGAGGGTTTGAGGGGATTCTCTGCATAATCAGTGTTATTGTTGTCATGCAGCCTTGTCTGGGCTGATTTAAACATGGGTTTGATCCGTCCATAAACCCATTTTTGTTGCCTGGAGAACAGCTGGCTCACAGACAACACCCACATCTTTGCCTGACAGCTGCATAATGAAAGCGTGACTCGGGGCACGAGCAGCACCAGGTGAAGCATCAACCTTCAGCTGACCAACTCTGCCTGCAGAATGTCCTGCTGGTGGGGCTGGGAGGGCTGATTCGCCCTGGGGACAAAGGACCACTGAGAAACACAGATGTCCAGAGGGCATCCTCCCACTACTGGGTGCACACTGCTGCCCTGCACCAGTTCATCTTTGGGCCTGTGAGGAAGGAAAAAAGCTGGGTTGGCAAGGCAGGAATGTGGATGGGATGCTGGCATCTGAGACCAGGTGGGACTGCTCTGTGTGGGGCTGCTGTTCTCTCAGCTTCGTTTTCCACAAAGGAACCAGAACATTTGTGAAGGGCCATGACTGGCAATTGTGTGCTGTTTTGGCTAACTAGGTCATCTTCCACCGGCCATGGCTTAAGGAAGGCATATACTCCAAAAAACAATCCCACCATGTTCTGATTTTGATCTCTGTTACCCATCAGAGTGGCCTATTGGACTTATCCACTAACTCACAGGCCTCTCCCTCCTGGTTCCCCTATATGGTTTTCCCCTTACTTCCCCTGTTCTCAGCTTTCTGGAGGAGCTCACAGATAAAGATGTCTTCTCCCTTTGTCTCTCTTTTCTGACCCTTTACTTCCAGGAACACAGAGCATGCCTTCTGAGGAAAGCAACATTTATATGGCTCTTATGAAATAAAAAACAAGAGGCACAAACATACTTGCTATTTTTCCTTATTGCCTAGGCTTCCCAGCATCCCTATTAAGTGAAACTGAAAGCTAACATTTATTGAAAGGTACCTGCATGCTGAGCCCTGTCACAAGCCCCTGATGTGGATGCCTTAACATGTCCCCAGGTCCCCTCCTCAGGTCTGAGGTCTCTCTCCCTGTCTGTTGTGTGCTGTAGGCTCTCACCAAGAGTTACTCTTGATGGGGGGAGGGGCGGCGGCACACTTTGCTAAAGATGAGGTTTTCTTCTCGTGGTAGCCTTATCCAGGAAGGTCTTTGTAGGGTATGAAGGCACAGCCCTCTTGCCTCAGTGGTACAGTTTTGAATGGATTCCAGAACTCCAGAGCATGTCCTGGGCCAGCTGGGGGCTCTTTGAACTGTACAGCGTCCATTCCTTCCCCTGCCCAGCCTTGTTTCCTTCCCTCCCTCTCAGTTCTGAGACCTCTCCCGGAAACGCTCCTGCATGTAAGCCTCTGCCTCACAATGCATTTCCTGGAGAACTCAAACAAAGAAACAACTTATTTAGTCCTCTCAACCACCTTATGAAATGAGTCCTTTGGTGTCTTAGACAAGGAAAACTAGAGTATGGATAGGTTAAGAATGAGCATGTTTGCCCAAGGTCTCCCCTCAGTAAACGGCAGAGCCATGGTTTGTAATCTGAAAGTCCAGTTCTAAACCTGTACTCTTAACCTTGCTTGCAGCCTCTAACTTGAAATTCCAAACTGGGAACGGTCGCACACATCTGTAATCCCTGCACCCTGGGAGTTTGAGGCAGGTGGATTGTAGGTCTTAGCTCAGCCTGGGCAACTTAGCAAGACCTCATGTAGGAAAAAGAAAAAACAAAACAAAACACAAACAACCTAAAGAGAACTGTGGGGCAATGGATGTGGCCATAAAGCCTTTATGGGAGAGTGAGAAGTGGAGTGGTATTTTATTACCTTTATCTCAGAGATGGGGACATTGAGCAAGTAACCGCTTACCCCAGTATCACTAACCACTTACAGAGGCAGTGGGATTCTTGCTTTTTTGTTTTTTTGCATTGGGAAAAGCATAGTTAATTCTTATCTGAAATCTAAATTCTGGTGCCAATTATGTAAATTCTGTTCATTTTTCGGTGTCTTCCTGAAAGTGCCTGGCACACAGGTGTTCATTAAAGCGTACCCTCCCCATGTCTGCTGCTTCCAACTCTGCCTTTGGGCAAGTCTCCTTACTTTTCACTCCTTAGTTTCTTCATCTAGAAAATGGAGAGGATGACGATGATAATGAAGAGCTTACTCAGCCCGGTGGCCATTGGGGTAGGAGCACAGTACATGGCAATTATCAGCATAATCATGATGCAGTTTTGCCAGGGCTGCATCCTTTGCTCCTGTCCTTCAAGACCCAAGAGATTCAGATTTTCCTGTGATCGCCTCCGTGTGTGCCTCCCTGACCTGCCATCTCCATGTAAACCCTCCTGACACCGTTGCTTTGGTTTCCTGATTTTTTTAGAGGTCGGCGGGTTTTTTCCTACCAAGCAGGTGCACGAGGCTCATCTCCGCAGCCTCTCGCTCCCCAGCAGGCGACTTCGGAGGAGGGGGCAACCCCGCCTTGGGCCCAGCGTGCCAATCGGGCCCCGCCTCATCGGGCTCCAGGCCCCGCCTTCATCCGCGTAGCCCCCACCCCCGCTCTCCGATTGGTCAGCGGCGCCCAGCCCCACCCCGCCCCTCCGAGAGTATAAAAGGCTCAGCAGCGGCGGCCGGACGAGTGTACATTGACGACCTCAACCAGAGCGGTTTAGCGCTTGTTGCCTCAGCCCCCAGCTGCGATCCTACTGGAGCCGGTCACCATTCACACAACGTGCTGCCCTGCGCCCGCAACCATGTGCCGCACACTGACTGCCTTCCCCACCACCTGCCTGGAGAGGTAAGAGCAGTTCAGCTGGTCTGAGGAAAAAGTCCAAGCCCCACCAACTCTTAGGAAGTGGAGCTGCAGCTTTGGGGATATGGGGGGAGAAGGAGTGGCTCGCTGGTGATTTGAGTAGAGGGGCAGAGAGGAGGAGGGGAAAGGAAAGGTGAGGGAGCTGAGCTCCGCTGCTTGCTGCCATTCCCATCCTGTGACAAAAGCCGCTTATTAGTCCAAGTCCTTTTTGCTGGAGACTCTGCTGCAGGATAAGCATGTTGGCACCTCCACGCAAAACCGAGGCTGCCCCAGTTTCTTAAGCACTTGGTTTACATTCCACGGCCCAGAGTTAGGGGCTTGGCTTCCTTTGCCCTGGGAGGGCAGGAAGATCCATTCTGTGTCCCACCCCCTGGGGATGTGCAAACTTTCCAGAGAGCTATTCAGCAGCTTGCAATCCTTACTGAAGCTGGTGGCTGGGAAGGAGAAGCCAAAGACGAAGGCAAGGATCAGTTTCCACACAGCCTCAGAAATATCCTGACAAGCCCGAGGGATACTGAGTTGCTAGCCAAGAGGCACAAAGATAGATCAGTGTGACTTAAATAGGAAAAAGGCAATATATACAGTGCTAAAACCCTAAAAGTGTAAGACCTCCCAAGGTACAGCTCAAACTTGCTTTTGTAGCTTTAGGCCTGATAACGCTAACAAGAATGATTGATAATGCACACTTTTGGTCCTGGGAACAGGCAGAGGTTCATGCTGGTTGAGCAAACAGAATCCTTCCATGCTTATGATTTGTCTTTCAGAGCCAAAGAGTTCAAAACACGTCTGGGGATCTTTCTTCACAAATCAGAGCTGGGCTCTGATGCTGGCAATGTTGGCAAGTTTGAGCGGGGCAGTAAACACAGCAAAGAAGGGTAAGTTTTTTCCAGCCCAGGGCCCCCACAGGGGAAGGAGCCTGAGAAAGAAAATACCAGGAGGAACTAGGACCTGCGAGGTGGACTGAGGCAGCCTCTCGCTGGGGCTTGTAGTACGACTTGTTGCTGTGGCTGCCAGACTTCTAAATCCACCAACAGACAACTGCACCATGAGCATGAATGTCTAGTTACCAGACTCTCCCATCTGGAAGTGTCAGTGCACAGGCATACAGAGCTAGGATAGGGTCCAAGACCACTTGAAGTTGTTATTAACAACTCTGCTTCCATTGGTGTATGGACCTTGCCTACATCCCTTTCATACTACCAGCAGTGCTGCCCTGGGATAAAGATACTCTCTTGTGAGGCCCTCTTTCCTTGAGGAGGTATACAAAACCCAGGTTGGAGAGTTAGGGAAATAGAAGCAATTTTGGACAGAGAAGAGACAGCCTTAGAGATACTGACTGAGGCCAGAAGGGTCCCTGGCTTCAGTGTCTGGTTGCTGATTTGCCCTTTAGAAAACACCACCATATACTTTAAATACAGAGTTAAACTCCCCTGATTTTGAGAAGTCAGCTTCAGCAACCACCGAGCAAGTCTTTGTGTAAATTATGCAGCTTCTCATCAGAGTTCTGGCTAGAATTTGTGCTATGGTTTGGTTTGTTGATTTAAAAAAAAGTTTTTTTAAATTTTGTTTTTTTATTATTGTTTAATAGATGTGTCTCAGAAGATGTGCTGAAGTGGAGAGAGTCCTTCGACTCACTGCTGAGCAGTAAAAGTGAGTAGGACTCTGTTATGTCTATCTGTGAGTGGCACATGCATACTCATGTGCTTTAGAGCCAGGGATGCTGAAAACATGGGCAAAATAATTGTAATAGCAATAATAATAATGATCCTCTAGTGTGCCAGCCTCTGTTCAAAATACAAAGGCAGGTCCTTGTTCAAAAAGATTACATTCTAAAAATAGAGCCATTAACTGCAATTGTTATCTTTTCTTCTTTTATTCCCAGCTGTCCCCCAGTCTGACCTGTTCCCCTTTCTTTCCCTTCCACCCCAGAGGGAGTGGCTGCCTTCCACGGCTTCCTGAAGACGGAATTTAGTGAGGAGAATCTAGAGTTCTGGTTGGCCTGTGAGGAGTTCAAGAAGATCCGATCACCTGCCAAACTGGCCTCCAGGGCTCACCGCATCTTTGATGAGTTCATTTGCAGTGAAGCCCCTAAAGAGGTCAGTGGCCCAACATGGTCCACCAGTTCTTCAGAACTCTCCTTCCCCCTCCCCATAGAGAACCAAGGATGGGGGCCTTGCACATGAAGGGCTGGGTTTTGAAGTCAAGAGGGCTTGTCACAGGGAGAATGGGCTCCTGTGGCCAGAGACTAGAAAATCCAGCTCAGTGCTACTGCTGGACATCACCCTCAGACTCAGATGGAGCAGGATGGGTCACCAGAATTTTTGGCTTCTGTCCATACCCACCTTTGTAAATCAGTTATTTTTAGACCCTCAACACACTTACTGACTGTGGAGACAAGGTCATCACGGGGATTTTGTGTAACCTGGCTCAGTCTGGCTGACCTGTGGCCTGTGGTCGTTTTTTCATTTTTTTTTTTTTTTTTTTTTTGTTTGCAATTTAACTTTCCGTCTGTCTACCTCTGCCTGGCTTTTGAGTTTGCTAAAACGTGGAGTCCCCTAGTGGAGAAATTAGAGTAATGCCTTACATTTGTATCTGTTACATTGTTTTCTGACTGCTTTTATTTATTGTATGTTATTCCATAAAGGTTTATTGAACAGAAGTTACATGCAAGGTGTTACGCATATATAGCCTCAGGGAATATAGTAATAAACAAAACAAAGTCCCTGCACTAATGGAATTTATATTCTAATGGAAAATACCAATAATCAATTAAATAAATACAAGCCAGGACAGATGATTTATGCTCTGATACAGCTAAAGCTGGCCATGCAAGAGGGAGCACCCAAGGGATTGAGTGGGGTGAGTGGAGGTGAGGTCTCCCATTGGACAAAGGGAAGTCAGGAGTGAGCTGTTTGATCAGGTGTCATATGAGCAGAGAGATGAAAGAACTGAAGGAGGGAAGGACATTCTACCAAGGAAGCAGCAAGTGCAAAGGCCAGACCAGGTGGAGTGGGTTTTAAAAGGCTCACTCAAACTTCACAAGGACAGACAGACCGAGGGGGTGAGAGAAGAAAGAGACCAGCTAGGAGGCCCTGGAATTGATCTGGGAGAGAGACGGTGGTGACTTGAACCAGGGCTGTAACAGAAGAAAGGGCAAAAGGAGGCTGGGTTTGCATATACTCTTAAAATACCCTCACAGTAATTCTGAGAGATTGGAAGAAAGACACTGGATCTGCTGTGGGGACAGCCCCAGAACTGAAGAGCTAGGCATGGCCACAGGAGACTCCAAGTTCCTGTGCCCTTTCCACAGCCCCACCTGCAGCTGGCCCTTCTGCAGCCCACTAGGCCCCTGTCTTGGCCCCTTCTGCACCTTTAACCCTGTACTTGCCTCCTTTCCACAGGTGAACATAGACCATGAGACTCGGGAGCTGACAAGGACGAATCTGCAGGCGGTCACAGCCATGTGCTTTGATGCAGCACAGGGGAAGACGCGCACCCTCATGGAGAAGGACTCCTATCAACGCTTCCTGAAGTCACCTGCCTACCGGGACCTGGCTGCACAAGCCACTGCCACCTCCACCTCTTCATCCAGCTGCAGCCCGGCTGAGCCTTCACACACATGAGCCTCCAGGGCAGTGAGGAAATCAGTGGGAAGAGAGGTGGAGTCACCTATCCCTGAGGCGGCTGCCCCTGTAGGGGAGAAAGGCTCTGCTCAGCAAGTACAAGAGGACAGTGGAAGGGGAGTGGTCCAGCAGCCTGTGGGGAGGAATACTTGTTCCTCCAGATACTGTGGGTTGGGTGCCATGTGTGAGAATGCCCCCTACATTCAGGAGCTGTGGCTAAGGGCTCTCTGGGGAAAAACAGGAGGGTGTAGCAATTAGCTCTGGCTCTCATCCTTCCCATTGGAGCAAGGACAGATTCCAGGGTGCCTAAGGAAATTTGAAAAGGAGAGTTGCCTATGGATTGGTTGAGTTTGATCACATCTTGCTTTCCAAATTTCCTTAATTGGCCCAGAAGGAGCCCAGGGTGTGGAATCTTCCTGTTTGGCCCCGCTCACCTGTCCCTGTCCCTGTCCCAGGTCACCCCAGGGCACCTTGGCTTCTGCTTCTTAATGCTACCCTGTGTCCCTTCTTACAGTCTTTTCAAGGTCAGCTAGTCCTTGTGACTCTTGCCCAGAATGACATTTATATACCTCAAAGACTGGCCATGAACCCTGAAAAGGGACCAACTTGCACAAGTGAATGCAGCCTGGTGCTCTCGGTGGCCTCATGCATATGGCCGCAGCCCCACGTGTGCAGCAGTTCCACCCGTGAGTGGACCCTTGGAGGGCCTCTCTGAGATCTCTGAGCCCTTGGAGATGAGGCCCAGGAGGAGGAAGGTGGAGGCCTCAGGGGCAGTGGGGAATGAGGGAGAAAGGGATCATAAGAAAATCTTTTGGCAGTGCCTGACAGTCCTACAGAAAACAAGCCAGTATTTTCTTCACGCATGAGAAGGGATAAAGAGATGCCCTAGGATGGAAGGAAGGGGGGCCTTGAGTTTCTTTCCTGTGAGCGTGAAATGTACACTGGAGTGTTGGGAGGCATGGATCAGGGAGCATGATGGCCCAGGAGCAGAAGGTAAGGCTGGACTAAAGCTGGGGAGCAGGGCTGCTTGGAAGGAGGAGGCTGGGAAAGTCAGAAGTGGCTGCCACCTCAGGCCTCACCCAACTTCTGCTTCAGAGCTGCTTCAGCCTCTGCTTCAGAGCCACGGGAGAGATGAATCCACCTGGACATCCCCCTCTTGCCCCAGGATAGCCAACACTGCCCTCTGTGCACTTGAACTCCTCTAGGAGAAAATTATTTAATTATAATGTGTTTGCAGTATGCTGATTTTTTGTTACTGTTGTTGTTGTTATTTATTATCATGCTTCAGTTTCTCCACTGGGGAATCTCAGCAGGACTTGCCTCCTGACTGTCCCTTCCCTCCACCAGACTCTACCTCTGAATGTGTAGGGAGCCACTCGGGGCCTGTCAGGAACACATCACTGTTTAAATATTTATTTATTGTTGACCAAGGGAACTGGATTCCTTAATGCGAGTGATGTATGCAATCTCGGTCAGCATGTTATATTCTTATAAAATAAAAATAAAACTCAAATGCAGTATCTTGTCTCCAAGGGTTGTGTGGATGGGCAAAAGGCCCAGGGAAGTGTGGAGGTGCTGGGTAGGTGGCAACCTCCCACTACACATGTGACACCTGTTCACTTGGTAACTGGAAGAATCAGAAAGGAGGGACTAGATGGGTGCTCGTGGTGGCCACCAAGCTTGGTGACTTGCTTTAGCTGATAACAGCTGTGCTGTCATTTCAGTCTATGTCCTTCATCCGCCTGATCAGGACTCAGCACAAGCCATTCCCAATCCTGCCTGTCACAGAACAAGGGTTAACAGATGCCCCTTGATCAAATAGCTGGACATTGTCAACTAGGTGGTGATTTTTGCAATTGTCATTTTTGCCCATGTTCAATTTGCATTAGTATTCTTTTATAACTTCATTGAAATTCAAGGAATAATTATTATTCTGTAATTTCATAGATGTCTGAGATGAAGTACATGAAATTACTCTATATACATGGCTGTTTCATCCATGGCTAAGGGCCTGACAGGATTGAGCTGGGCTTGAAAGAATTTGGGGGGAGGTTTGCAAGAAGCAAAATCTCATTATGTGCTAATTGCCTACTTGTTCTTATCCTGGTAAACTTATGCACACACACAACCCCCCCCATTATAATTTAAAAAGATTCTCTTTTCTCTGTGTTATCAGTTCATGTACAGAACTGGACCTTATGTTGACTCTCATTTCTCCCCTATTGTTAGAGAAAAGTGGTCTGAGTTTGAGTACTTATCACAGAAACCCCATACAATTACATCCTAAACCCAGATCTAGAGAGTTATTCTGACATTAAGGGCCTGGGAAGGAAAATGGGAACTCAGTTACACTGGGGTAGGGGGCGGTTGGTGTGTCTGAGATGGGCAGAGGGCTATGACTGAGGAGGGAAGAAAGGGTACCCCAAGGTACTCTCTCTTTTTTTTTTTTTTTTTTTTTTTTTTACTACTTTCCTTCTATCTTTTTACCTTTTCATATGCATTTATTGAGTAGCTCCTGTGTACCTGCCTGGTAAAACAGCCACCATACCATCAACAGCAAGTAGCTGTCATTTAATGGGAGAAGGGGGTTTGGAATAAACTTAGACAAGGGCACACTGTGTGTCTTCTGAAGTGATATGAGGGCCAGTAGGAAAAGGATGGTGTAACCCATGAGCAAGAGAAATAAACAGGGCTGACAGAGAGCCACATTGAGGGCTGGTGCTTGCATCTCTGTCCAGGGAGACTGTCCTCTGGGCTCAGTCCCAGTTAATAGCTGCCATTCTGCTAGCCTACCTTTCCATAGGAGGTCTTGGGATCAGCATTGTGGCCTGAAGGTGGCAGGTGAACATTAAAGATAAAGAAGATCAATTCTTCACTGACCCATACAGCTCCTGAGCGTCAGATTCAAAATAGCCCCATGCTACTTGGTCCTCAAAGAGTTTCAGTGACTGATGGAAGATCACATAGCTAGCTCACAATCTCCAATACCTTTAGACACACAGCCTCTGTCTCTTCCCTGTCCAACACTGCCTTAACAGTGTGCTTTCCAGCAGACTCCCAAAGATCTCTGAGGCCTGCTGTCCTGCTTTCATCTGCCTCTTCAAAACAAATCTTTAGCATTTCCTGGACTCACATCACTTTTGCAACCTGGACCACCTCCCTGTTATGTCTCCCCACTCTTACGATTTCCCACCACCTTCTTAGTAGCCTAGGCATGTACCTTTCAAATCCATCTTTCAAAAGTCTTTCTGGGGAGGCTTCTGTGGCTCTTTGAGTCCAATTATGGAGCTGCTCCTCCATGTTCTACTGCTGCCGATGCTCACTCAAATAAGAGTGCTGAGACCCTGTAATGCCTCAAACAATCAGTGCCCAGCTTTACCAGACTTCAGATTTCTGGGATTAGGCCTGACCTCCTTTCCAGTTTTCTACTTCCAGAACCTAGCACATAATAAATGCTTACTGAACAGCTCTCGAGTTAAAAGTGAATTTAAAATCCATGAGGAGAAAAGTTAGATTACTATTCTCAACCTTCTGCCAGACTTCTCCTCCTGTACATTCCTGGACCCTCAGTAGTTAACACATTCAAAAACAAGGTCCTCCTCCTCCCCCTCCCCTCCCCTCCCCTCCCCCCCCTTCCTCCTCTTCCTCAGATATCCTCAGCCTACTGGTTCCCTGACCCTGGTGCTCAGAGGCACTGGACCCCAGACTGGGTTTCTCCACCTCTGCTTACCATCATATGGAATCCCCATCAAACTCAAATGTGTTTAGCCCAGCTTCTCCTTCCCAGTCTTGCTTAAGACTTCTATAGCTAAGTCTCTCCTCTCCAGCCTGGGCTGTGGCAACGACTCCCCACTTGCTGTCCCTACCCCAGCCGCTGCCTGCTCCAGCTCATTTCCCCTTGCTGCAGCAGTCTCCCAAGTAGAGCCCAGATCTGAGCACTTTGGGGCCTCATCAAAGGCCTTCAGTGGCTTGCTTTTGACTGGAAGATGAAGTCGAGCTCCTGCCCCTGCAAGGATCTCTCTGAGCTGAGGCGAGTCTGTCTCCCAACTCATCTCCTGCCCAGAGGGCCTTGCTCACAGGCTCAGTCCTTCCCACTGTTATTTGTGTCTCTGGACGTGCTCTCCCCTCTGCTTGTAATGCTCTATTTTCTTCCTCTTTTTTTTTTTTTTAAATTAGGAGTTGAGAGGTAAGAATGCCAACTTTAAAAATCTAGCAAAAAATGTCACCTCAGTTGAAGCCTTTGTCACAGAGAGTTAATCTCTCTTGATTTTAAGACACTTTTAAAATCTTGATTGTAGCATGCAGAATGTGGTGGGCTCTTCAGGGTCATGGCCCCTATACTTCACCTTAGTAAGGTGGGGTACAGCAGAGCACAGTAAAGTGGCTCATAGCCCTGGCTTAAGGTCTTGGCCCTTTCACCTTGGGAAGTTATTCAAGTCCAAAGTTTAAGTACCTCATCTATAAAGTGCCCCATGAATACAGTATTAGCTTTTACTTTTGCCTGGTTCCTAGTCCTTAGCACAGGGTCTTTTTTTTTGGTACTGGGAATAGAACTCAGGACCTTGCACTTGAGAGGCAGGCATGGTGCCACTGAGCTAAATCCCCAGCCCCAAGCACAGGGTCTTGTACAGGAAGAATTAATCAAGAACAATTTATTGACTTTTTGAATAAAATAAACGAACCAAGATTTGAATCCAAGATTCTACATCAACTTTTCTTTTTACTGTTGCTTTCTCAACACAATATTGTACAGTATGTGACATTCAGAGCATTTCAGATGAGGAAGTGTAAGGTTGGGGGCATCAGCAAGCCAGTGTACTCCAGGGAACCCTAAATTCACTCAAAGCCAGTCAGTTTGTGCTGTTTTGAAATGGATGCCAGTTTCTTTTCTGACTGCCAGACAATTCACTTGTCACCCTCTGCTGCCTCCCTGTGGTCATGCTAGACAACGTAAGCTTTTGGGGGAATTATTTGATATCCATCATTTTTAAAGGTTAGCTTCTACCTTTGGGATTATATCTAATGCCTGTAGTTTGTTTCAGTATAGCTTTGTTCATTAATTAATTTTAATAAACACATAAAATTTTAGTGAAATTAGAATTATTAACATAGCTGATAACAGCACAATGGGTATAGGATTTCTTTAGGTCACTGGGCTGAAATTAACTTTAAAATTGAAACTCTTAGGAAAGGGGAAAGGTGTTCAGGGTCTATTAAGTGCTGATCCCAAGGTAGTTCACTGTCACTGAGCACTTTAAATTGGTCCAGTAATTCAAATTGCTTTAGGGAAGAAAAGAAAGATTGGAAATTAAATAACAGGTAAGAGATACAAGGCAATTAGATACTAGAAGATGAAATTTGAGTCTCCATCATTTAGAAAAGATACCTCTAGCCTTCTAATGTTGGTGATTTCCAAGTTGTGATTACTAACCTGTATAATGATTTAACTTAAACTTTGAGAAAAGCAAAAATGTATGGATTAATCTTTTGTTTGTAAGGAGTTCCCACTTAAGGGATAGCTTTGTCCTGGAGTATGACCATCTTTGCTAATTCCATTTTGTCTGTTCCAAGGGGCAGCTTCACAGACAGCATGTACAGTTAGCAGGCTCAGAGTTAGATGACTGAATCCAGCCCATATCTGCTGAATAATTTTTAGCACATTACTCAAACTCTTAGAGCCTCACTTTTTACTGTGAATAGCAATCATATTGGCTTCAAAGAGTTTTTATAATGATAAAATTAAAAATTTATGAAAAGTATGTATCATAGGGCTCAATGTAGGTAGTGGGGACAGGGATGTTACCAGGACCTCTGCCTTGGGTCCTGGCCTGTGAGCCACCACAGCACAAGGTGAATTCAAGAACAAACAGAAACGACACTTAGAGTGCAGAAGCTGAGTCTTGGGTCCTGGTCAGCGCTGCTGATGGCAGCAAAGACAAAGGCCCCCAAGCACATCCAGTATTTATTGAATACAATCGTGGGAAGGAATAGGGAGCAGGGTATGCAGACAAGGCATCTAGTGAAATAAACACCTGGCATGATGGCGCCAGGCAGGGTTGTTAGGGAGGAAGCACTGTTTATCTTGCTTGGATGGAACAAACTGGTACAGGGACCAGGTGCAATTAGCAAGCAACCCATCAGGTCAGTGAGAAGCCATAATTCAGGGGAAAGGGTTTTACTTGGGGTCACGCTGACCTCAGCTGCACGTAACTCATTAGAGTTCTGCCACTTCACAGACCGGGTTTCCGTGGCAGCCATTGAGGGAAGGGCTATACTTGGCCAGTCTACCATCTGACGTACCCATTTGAGTCATGTAGAGCTTCGGTCTGACTCCTGATATAAAACAATATAGCTGAATTATGGAAGGCAGACGCACATGTCACTCATAGCCCCCTAGTACTTGGCAGAGATGTCTCCTACAGTTCAAACTATCCTAGACTATTCTCACAGTACTGATGTGATAACATTAGTTTTCTGTTTGATTCATATTGGTCCT